GGCATTGATGTAACAAATTCTTATTGAGTTATGCATGGAGTTATTATTCCAATGAATTTACCACAACATAATATTGGTATTTTGGGTCCAAACCTTGTCTCGCTCCCATCCAATGATGATCGTCCGAGGGTTTGCATGACTCCAGACAAATAGTGTAGGCTACGGCCTTCTTTGGCTCCAAACATAGGATTGAGCTCGTTAAAGGACCAAACTCCAAGCCTGCTTAGTTGCTCAAACTCCTACCCGTAAGCCCGGAACATCCATTCACATTTCATCTACCTTACCTAGTCAGCAGCAGTAGTGGGAACAGTACTTTGAGCAGCGAAGGCGGAGTCACTGATACGTGGTTTCACATTGAGTTGGGCTTTAGTACAAACCCAGCTTCTTCTTACAGCTATAGGGACAAAAGCCCAAAACACCATCAAGCTTCAAACTCTCACGATTCGGAAGAGTAGCACCGTCGAAGAGGCATAAGCAACTGAAGAAGGGTGCGTTGAAGTTGAAGATATATATCCTTGTTTCCCTTGTGCTAGCTGACCCAACTCAAACTGAATTTTGAACTGGTGAGCTGTTAGAACAATGGCTTCAACGGAAAAACCTAATACCAGGATTATATTGACTGATTTCTCGTATATTCTCATATTCGAGTTACACTTACAGTGATCTCTTCCATCTTCTGTGAGCTAATGAAATGGGTCGTACATAGGGATGGCATGGCAGTAGAACCCGCACTACAACAAAACTCACATATAGCGGCTAATTGTTGAGGCAAATATTGTATTTGTCTCTAAAAAGATGTTATATGCAACAGATATATAATTTGCCTCAATAGACTCAATTATGTGCCTCTAAAAGTATGTGATATACTACAAATATATAATTTGCCTCAACAGGTTCAATTATGTGCCTCTAAAAGTATGAGATATATTACAAATAGATAATTTGCCACAATAGATACATCTATTTGCCTCTAAAATATGAGACATTATCATTTCTTTTGTATACTATAAGTTTTAGAGGCAATTGTGGAGTGTGTTGTTTTTTATTTTTTCAATAAAATTGTGACCTGATTGATGGCGGGAGTTGGCCGCTCATTTTTTTCATTTTGATTTTTGAACGGGAGGAGGGATTTATAATTTTCATTTTTTATTAAGATTTAAGAGTTTTTTTTGCCACATTGACATTCTTCCCTCTCCTCTCTCACCGCTTTCCCACCCTCTTTCCCTGTTACTCTGGCATCCGCCTTCCACCGCCGCTAGCCACTCTTTGAACCTGGGAGAACGAGAATCTACGCTAAAGAGTCTTCGACAAATTACTACCGTGAGACTCTGAAATTACTGGCATCAACGCTGTGGCGTTCGCCGATTCGGGTTTCCTTCTATCTCACTTTTGTCTCTGTTCCCAGTCTCTGCTCTATTCTTGGTCGATCTCGTATAGCGTATCTTATCATTCTTGTTGCGCGATTGGGATCTCTCAGCCACTTTTGTTTTGTTATTTGAAGGTGAATAAGAGAAACGTCCATGGGTGGCCATTGTTCAGCTTGAGCATCGATTCGGTGTCGATTGGAGAGAACTGGGTGCCAGCTTTTCCCATCAACCCATATGTTCTAAACCTGCCGCCTTTGTGCAATGGAATCTCAGTGAGTCCCTTTATAAAACTTGCAGTTGTCTTCCCCTTCCCCTATTCGATTTGTTGATTTTTGGATTTGGGTTTCGTTTCTAGGGTTTGGTTGTTGGCTAAAGCATGGTTTATGTGTTCCTTTAAGATTTCAGTCGTATTTCCGGTGACTCTGTTAGCATGAAGTTTTGGATTTTGGTTTTGTATTGGTGATGGATATTGGGTTTTTTCTAGGCTAGCTGGTTATGCATACTACTATGAAATCAATTCTCTTTAACTCAGAGGATAAGGAATAATGGAATACGAAATTGTTAAGGAATATGAATGCTCTGTACTTTTCCTTGTTCACGGCTAACTTTAACTCTGGATATCAATCAATAGAAACTCCTTCCAGTTTGCAGTTTAAATGTTCAACAAAATATTTCACAATATCATTTACTTTCGGCAGGGTTTGAGCTATGTACTATATAATTGGTATCTAGTAATGAATCAATATCAACAATTACAAGGTATTGAAAGTATACGACCTTTTTAGATGGGGGGTTTTGAATGGAATCAAATTCTTGAAACAATCTGCAGCTAAAGTTGGGGCTTGTTTTGAATGAAATCCTGAATTTGGGATTTTTCAATTTGGGTTTCAAATTGTTCATCCGTAAAGGTTTCTGACTTGTACATGCTCAATTTATTCTTTCTTGCTCGATTGCTTGTTGGTTTTGAAACTAGGAGTTAGGGTTAAGACGAACTCTTTTATCAAAACCAGAACCCAAATACAGAGAAGTGAAATCCCTCGTCAATGGTGGCGGAGGAGATGTTCCTTTTATGATTTGTATTGCTCTGTTTAAATAATTGGATGCAGGTTATGCAAATTTGAGCTTTTCCGATCAGTGAGACCTTGTCGGATCTGTTGCTATCTCCAATGCTCATTCAGTGAACTAATTCCTTCTGTTTACCCCCTTTTGGTAAGGGTTCTTTGCTCTACTGATTTAACTGAATATCTTATCTTCAATTTCATGTTAAGGTTGTCATCAATGTAGTAATTTCTGATCTTGCTCATCTGCAGGTACGAAGTGGAGTCGATCGAGTTGAATTTTATGCTAGCATTAAAGTCTAAGATGCACAAAGAGTTGCAATACTTAGAGAGTTGAATTCTCGTTTGCTCCTACATACAGCTCTTCATGAATGCTTTTTAACTCTCGAATCATAGTTTTTTTTTTGTTTGTTTTAGAGTTGTTGATATATGCCTCAATACTAAGCGACCTCTACCTTTTCCACTTGTGGACTCTCATTTCCCTTCTCTTCAATCTTACGTTGTACACTCTACACTTTGTATGTAATGTTGTACAATATATTCATCTTTCCATATCATTTTTTTACTATAAATCAGTTCAATAAATCAATACAAAAGCACATTTATTAACCTCTAAAATTTAATTTCACAAGCAAAATTATCTGCCTCTATAAATAATATTAAAGGCAAATTTAATTGCCTCATTAAATAATTTTAGAAACAAAAATATATGCCTCTATAGATACTTTTTGAGTCAAGTTTAATAGCCACTAAAGATCATTTTAGAGGCAAATACTTAAGCCTTCGTTATTGGATATAAAGGCAAAATAAAAGTGACATTAGCGGCTAATATATTAGTTGCAGAATCTTTAATCACCAACAGATAATATATGCCACTATATTTGCCTCTATAAGGCTATAGCCACTAGAGTATTTGAGGCAAATGTATTATCTGCCTCTAAATATATACAGAGGCAAATAATAGACTTATAGAGGCAAATTCTCTTAGCCGCTGTATATGAGTTTTGTTGTAGTGCCGAACCCGCGGCTACCCAATCCAACCCGATCAAAGTGGGTAAAACCCATTTTGACGGATTGTGGACCGGGTTTGGGTTTAAATTCACTATACTTTTTGCGGGTTGGGTTTGGGTTTAGCCATATCCAATCCGTGGATACCCGCACCCAAGTCCTTACTCCACATGACCCACAAAATCCTGAACTAATTAACTATAATTTCTAAACTAATTTTTCACATGTTCAATTAATCATATTGTTTGTGGATGTTTATCTTTAATATTGAACAATTAGTATGAATGATTTGTGAGTTAGTATGTATGTAGTAGACAATAGTTGTGAAAACTAGTGTAATTGCATCTTTGTACATGAACCCCTGATTACCCATGAACCCGCGGATACCCAGCGGAGGGTGGTTTGGGTTGGGTTTGAGTTTTACAAATCCCGTTGATTTTACCCCGAATTTTTTTATGGATAAACTCATGGGTTCGGATTTGGGTTTGGCAATAACCCGCCCCAACCTGACCCATTGTCATCCCTTGCACAAGGCAGTCTTTCCTCAATCATGTCTTTTTCTTCTTCGTTTTTTCTATCGGTTTCCACTCCTTAAGTGAAAGAATTCGTCTTTCGGCACTAAAACAATGAGGTACAAATTTCTTACGATTCAGAAATATGCACAAGACACAAAGAATGACTCGTGACTAAGTCGCTATTGGAGGATCCAAAATTACTTAATTTTTTTTCATTTTCACTGTTAACTAATTACCTTAGTTAACTGCGACTAGGGGTGGGCATTGGGTGGTTGAACCCACAAATTCACTCGCAATCAACCCACCGAGTATCATGTGGGTGGCCCCTATGGGTAGATGTGAGTTGTAAAATAGGTGACTCAAAAAATATTGGGTGGGTGCAGGTGGACTATGGTTGACCCACGATCCACCCAACTTTTTAACCTCAAGCCATCAAAGCTCCAACATATAGCTTTACCGCAATTGAAACCCTTCAAATCACAAAAAATCCTCTCAATTTCGATCAAAGGATTGTGTTGTGAGTGTGCTTAGGCAATTGGAGGTACTCTTAAGCATAACTAGTAGACAAATGGAAGAAAAAATATTGTTGTCTTCCCCCGATTCGTCCTTCATTCCTTCCATTAATTTGAAATTGTAATTTGCGACTATAGGTTAAAAAACTATTTACGCTCACAACGCCTAGGCGAATGAGGCACTACGGAAGACCAAAATGTTTGCCATATGTCTAGTGCCTTCTCGAACCTTTGTTATTATCAGGCTTAGACCATGTTTATCAGTTGAGTATTCTTTTTGTAATTTGTGAAAAATTACCAATACCAATATTGTAAAATAAATGATTCACCTGATTTATAGATTAAGCATTATTTAGTTTAATTTTTGTTCATTTTAAGTTTAACTTAATTGAAATTATATGATCATATGGAATATATATTGTAAATTCACCAAATCCATTTAACCTCCTATCATCCACAATCACCCAACCAAACTCACCCGCATGTAATGCTTGAGTTGATTTGTATCATTTTCTCCTTCACCCACCACATTGTGGGTGATTCCAAATCCATCCAAATTTGCAACTATTAATTGTGGTACTGTTATCAGTTTTATTTCACTAACTTGTCCTATACAATTTTCAGATCTATTTCACAAATCAAGCATCTACCCTAAACAACGTACAGTCCAAACAAATTCGGCAATCTGGTTTTCCTCTATGCCCTTACGTAAACACGGCAAAAAGTGCAACAACACTGACCCAAAATGCGTCAAAAGCCCAACGCCCATATCTAACCAAAAACAAAGCAAAATACAGAAATCTATCCGAAATAGTAAATGACGACAGGAATTGATAACGAATGTTCTGTTCCAATAGAGAATTCATAAATTAAAACTAAATATAGTCATCCATCCCTGAAGTCCGCCCAATTCCAGAATAAATCCAAAAGCAGCTTGTTGGATTCACATTTCCTTTTACAAGCTGCTGCTATCATCCATCCAACTATCTGCAGACTGATTTTCCTTTCGCCCCCACCCTTCTTAAACCATAAAAGATACAAAAGAAGAAAAATAATAAAGAGAGAATAAATGCAGTAAAGCTTCCCCTCCTTGCCTACGAGAGTATGACTGCTAACTGAGTCTGCAATGTGCCTAACCCCATGGAGAACCAAACCAGCCATTAGAAGTCAAAGAAATGTTCTTTTCTGGATCCCGAATCTACCCATGTTCTGCAATTTCCAATCTCTTCGTCGGGTGGGGAGGTGGGGTGACATTGCTGCCTCTTATCTGTTGTTTTCTTCGTTCTCTGCGGGGGACGTACCTTATTTAGCTGGCGAGCCCTGTTGTTTTACAGATGGGGCACCAATTCTTCAGCATCAGCCACTGCTTGATGCAGCCTGTGTGGAAATCATGCCCACAATCGAGGGTTCCGATCTCCTCACCGTTATTGTACTCCTCCTGCACATAATCAATGCAGTTTAGTATGTTTTCAGATCAGTTATTGCATATATATGGCTATAGCTAGGAAGGGGTGATGTAATCGACCAGAGGAAACGGTTACTTACCTGGCAAACGCAGCATGGTTCTGTCTCGGACTCAGTGGCGCTCCCTACAGCAGCTGAATATTTTCGCTGTTTAAGTTGACTTCCTATGGTCTCTTCGCTTAATCCGGTATTGACACTGCCAATCTGCTCTTCTAATGCAAGTAACTCCTGCATATTCCCGGGAGGAAAAAGATTATGAGTTATCAGTCACAGGCTAGTTATGAATTGAAAAGCCTGGTGTGGTGTGTATATATTACCTCGTATGACATGTTATCAACATCAAGCCGCATGTCCCTGTGCCTATCGTGCATATCGGCCATACCAAAAATTACCGACTGATCAAGGATCATGACATCCTGAGACAAGAAAACGTGTAAGCTATACAGGCTAAACAGAAAGCAATCGAGTTGAAATCAGGCCAACATTCAACATCACTAACTGAAACACTTGCTACTTAAACTACAGACAGCAGTACACAAATAAGAAACGCACGGAACACAAATAATCAGACTCATTTCACTTGACCAGCCTGGCAGGATTTAACATGATGACACACTATTGCTTAATTCAGCCCGGTCATAGCAGCTATTCAAAATCCTAATATGCCGAGAAAGCACCAGGAAGACAGTAAAAGAAGTGATGGTATCAAGAAACAGTTCATCTCAATAACCCGAGTTGTTCGGAGAGACCCAAATATGAATCTGGTACTATCCACTTGCAGACTGATGTTCAACAACAACCTAGTCAACATGATTGTTCTACGTGACTATGTAGAATTTAGATACATGACATTTATGATACCCTACTTAAGTGCAAACAAAATCAAAAATAGTAAAATATAGGCTGGCTTTTGGCAACTAAGACTCACTTTGTTGATAGGTCACAATTTGTATACTTCAGATAATGCATGCACGTAACTCTCTCGATTATCAGCTAAATAAGGAACACCACTAACAAGAAAAATACAGGATAACAAACCTCAAATCTCAGGCCCTCTCCCCTCCTCATGAGATCCAAGACATTGCGTAGCTGCTACAGAAACATAAAAAGGATACTGTAAGTTCCACATATTCACTGTTGCATAAATAATAGCTCAAAAATTAGTTGGACAGCTCATATCTGTTAAAGGCACTATAAATAGGTAGACCCACTTCACAAATCCAGGATACAAGCAGCTAAGTGGAACACAATAAATAGGAGGCCATGAATTGAAAGAGCAGGTGAGATGATATGGTTCAGTTGGCACTTCGCAAACTATCTATCATATGAACTAACCATGAGAGCCACAAGAAAGTGAAAAGAACAGTCAGCAGTAAATGGATCATGCAAATCCTGCAGCACAAGAAAAAGTGTTTTCCAACAAACCTCCGAAACAAGCCTGCTACGACCTTCACCAGAGGCGCTTAAAGTTCGTAAGGGGTAAGGGATTCTAAGGACACCATCACCACCCTGTCTATCAAGCCATGGTGCTGATCTTGGATGCGATCGATGATGATGCCCCTGGTTACTACTAGTTCCAGCAGGTATAACCATCTCTGCTGCGGCAGAAGAATTATTATTACTGCTCTGGGTTCCAGGATCATCACCAGCTGCAGCAGAAGAAGAAAACAACGACCGCCGAACATATTCCGCCAGTCGTCTCGAGTTTCTAGAAGAACTTTGATGGGGCACCCAAGTTGGAGCTGACAAATGAACACCTGAACTGGATCCACCACTCCGGGATGCTGCAGAAGAAGAAACATTGCTACTAGGTACACTCATATTTCCACCAACTATGTTGTTCCGATTCCCGTGATTTCTAGCAGAAGTTCTCGGCTCTGTTGCAGGTACAAACATAGGATGTTCCCATAATTGCCTAGCAGTATTTCTCGAGCTTCCCTCATCTCTATCACTAAAATCGATAGGAACACCTGATGAACTACCAGCTCTCGAGCTAGAAGTTTCACTCCACCTAAATGGTGGCCCAGTTTGTGGCAAAGCCGGAACTGGGATAACAACCGGCTGAACTTGAGTAACAGGAGCCTCTGCAGCAGACAAAGATGACCTGAATTCCAAGGCATGATCAACTGGAATATTATGTCTTGACGAGTGATGCCTAACAACACCGCCAGAAGAAAACAATGAAGAAGGAACAGATTCTTGATGCGAAGGATTTATCCTCAATCTAAAATTTCTTTGCCGTGAGCTTCCTCCAGATGGAATGGGATCAGCAATACCTTCAGTACCTAGACCTCTCATACCTAATCCAAGTCTGGGATGCACCTGCTCAGGTGGTGCAGCAGCTGATATATTCAAACTGCTGCTGACTTGGCGGGGAGGAACACCTGGCCATGCACCACTACCTTCTGGATGCTGAAACAAGCTAGAACCACCACTCATAGAGGACTGCCCATGTCCTTCTACTGCTTTTCTTTTACATGATTGACGGCGCCCATCAAATGAAGAACCAGGCCTGCCATCATCTCCCATCAAGTATCCTCCACTTCCAGAAGGGAGAAGAAACTCTTCAGGACCACTAACAGCATGTTCTGCACCACTAGGCTTGTACACCATGTTGTGGCTTCCCATAGAATCGTCACCCTGGCCCACCAACCCTGCATTCAAGTTCAGATTCTGGGGAAATCCAATGGCATTGGAGCTGTGCACAAACTGGGCATTGACATCGACACTATTCAATGAAAGCATATGGGTTGGTTCATGACGCCTTTCTTCTAACCTTGGGTTAGGATCAGCAGACATGCTAGCTGCTGCTGAAGAAGATGACGATCCATGTTCCATCTTCTGCTTATCTCGACTTCTGTCAGTTCTTGCACTGCCAGAACTCGGTTCACCTAGGCTCCACCGACTCAAGTTCTGCCGTTCATGGTCAATCGGATTTGCATACGGATTCATGTGAACAGGAGACAACATAAAGTTTGACAATCGCTCTTCTGGAGGATTTCTAAGGTTGTTCCAGCAAAGTTGCTGGTCCATGATGGGATTACCCGATGCTGATCCATGGTCAAAGTCCAAAGTCTCTGGCAAGGAGCCAACTATACCCCTCTGCCCTTGCATTAGGGCTAAATATGTTATATAATGTAGTTCAACAGAAGCAGAAAGCCCCCAAAGCAAATGGATTCACTTGAAGACCTGACAAGAAAAGAGAACATAGTTAGAGACACCCCTCTCAAGGAACACAACAAAGAACTCATATCACAGAGAATTTATCATTTTCACAATGCAAGAACACAGCACATAATGCACCTCACCAGTGAAGAGAATGTTTCACAAAACTGAAAGCTGATAAACAACAGACTCTTATCATTGAGCAGGACACATTCAATAACGGCAGAAAATTAATATGAAACGTCAGCTCAAACAAGTAAAACTCAATGCCTATATGTCACCACAAGCTACCCTTTGCTCCAATGAGCTCTTACTTGGTAACAACGCGATCACAATCAAGCTTGGCCTCTCTTACGGTTTGGATTGGCAAGTAAAGTTCGCATCTTTTATGCAAAAGCACTCTGCCCAGACTCATCTATTGGTAGAAACGCAACAATGAAGCCACAAGGCACATAGAGAACACAGGGACCAAAGCAACAATCGACCCAAACCAGACATTGGAAAGCTACTGGCGAAATACTCAACAAAAGCATTGTTTCTCACAATCAACAAACAGAGCCCCAAATCAATCAGCCGATACAAACAACACATCCATCCAACAAAAGCAGATTCATTTCTTTGAAATGTTCACCAGAGCCACTTCGCCTGGTCTAACAAAGGCACCGATGGGTGGAGTTCTCAGCCAAACACCACCAGTTCGTCAATCATCATGAATGACGAAAACTGGAAACACAAACAGAAACCAAAACAATCCGAAGATTTTGAACAACAAAAATCATTTATTTTTTAGAATTACCATGCTCATAATAACCCAAAAACAAGAGGAAAAACTACTGAAGACTTCGAGAAGAAAAAGAGAGCGCACAGATGAAACCCAATCTCAATCCGACCTACCGCCGCCTACTGATCAAGCTAAGCAATACAATCCACAGCGAGGGGAAACAGCTTACCGATCAAAGAGAGAGCAGGAAACTCCGACCGATCTAAAAGAATCCGAAGCGGAGAAGCCACAACCGAATCAAATATGAAAAAGCTCCAACACCCAACCAAAGAAAACCCAGAAAATCTTCTCCGGCAAGAGTACGAAAGAAGAGCGATAGACAGATGCAGGAATTCGCTCTCTTCCTCTTCTTCTTGTTCGTCGCCTGACCTTGTTCTCCCTTCCTCGAAGCCGGATGAGAGAAGCAAAAGCGGAGAAAACGGCACGCCCAAAATACCCCCCACCTCACCCACCAAAAGGGAATCGCAAGCAACAGGCCCGAGAGACAGAGAGGGAGAGAGAAAGAGCTAGAGAGAGAAACGGAACCAATGAAGGAAGGAATGGAAAGGGGGAAGAGATTAGGGAGAGGGATAATGGGGAAGAAAAAAAAAAAGGGGTGAGAAAGGAGAAGATTGATATGAGGGGTTGGGGGCAAGAAGAGCAAACGAAAGGAAAGCAAAGACAAAGGCAAGGAAACTGCACAAGGAAAGAGATTGAAAGGCAAAAAAAAAAAACAGTAATTATATTCTTATTATTTATTTAATTTACCATATTTATTGGATTCTTCAAAATTTAATTAATTTATTATTAGTTGAATTTTCTCTCTTTTTTCGTTCTTGTTTTACCTAATAACCCCACTTCCTAGTCCTAGCTAGGCAAGGCAAAGCAAGCAAAACACAACCAAACCCAAAGATTAGGAATTTTAATTTCGAATTAATAATTTAATTAGTGACTAATCAGAAACAGACACAGCCAAGCAAGCAAGCAAGAAGAGATGGAGGCAAAGATCTTTTTATTTGTTCATAAATCCTTTTTGCCGTTTTAAGTTAGAAAATAAATAGTGAAGAGGTGGGAAGGGAAGAATACGAGAGAAACGAATGGGAAAGAAACAGCAGAAAGCACACCTCACCGCTTCTCACCACCATAGCACGCCACAGCTACAACATCAACAACAAGAGGGTAGAGAGAGAAACAGAGAGACAAACAGAGAAATAAAAACAAAGGAAGAGAGAGAGGAGAGAGGAGGAAACAAGTTGGCCACAACCAGAACCCCTTTTGTTGGGCCGCTTACCAAGTTCGCTTTCGTTCTTCTCGTGGGTTATTTCTGTGAGAATAAGAAATGGTAACAAAAAAAAAAAAAAAATGGGAGCTGCTTTGGCTCCAATAATTTGGTCCAAGTTTCCCGAAGGCGTGACTTGCTTATCATCATCAATTTGTGTTTGTGTGTTTTGTGTTTTTATGATAGGCAAGTAACAACATTAAATAAATCAATAATTGAGGTGGTGGTGGATTGTGAAGTTCAAATAATCGAGTTTTCAACATTTTGTGAGTTTTAGAGTGTGTCGTTATATTTGATCATTGCCAAATGCCAACCCACCTTCCGCCTCACTAAGAATGTAATATGTATTATATTATTATGGTTAATTGATCTAGTCTCTCTAAATGTTTAACGTAGTATGAGAAAAACGATAAACCGAAAAAATAAGACGATGTTTACGCGGTATTCCCGATTACCGGAACTAGTCCACGGGAGAGATCAACTCTCCGGCTGAGATATTATTACTTGAGTTCTATTGTGGCCGGCGGCCTTACAGTATGCTTTATGCCCATACAACTATCATCAACTAGGTTAAAGCAACTAGGGCACGTAAATACAACATGAGCAAGAGATGTTGTGGGCTTGTCTTTGTCGTGACAGGCCGCATGTGAGATGGTTCGTTGGGCCATATGCAATACCCCCCCCCCCCCAAGTTGGAGCGCGAAGGTCTCGAATGCGCAGCTTGGACAAGAGGAAATGAAAACGCTCAGCTCCAAGTCCTTTGGTGAACATATCAGCAAGCTGAAGGTGAGAATTCACTTTTCAGCTTTTCAGGGAGGAATCTCTCCAGATTGCACTCTCTCTCGAACAAAATAGCAATCCATCTCTACATGCTTCGTACGCTCATGGAAAACAGGATTTGCTGCAATGTGGAGGACAACCTGGTTATCACATTAAAGAGGTGTAGAGCCACGCTGTGTGACACCCATTTCTTGTAGGAGCCAATGTAACAAGAGGACCTCACTAACAATATTAGCCATGGCCTGATACTTGGCCTTGGCAGATGAATGAGCAACAAATTGTTGCTTCATGGTACGCCAAGATAGGAGCACCACCAAGAGTGATAACGTATCCTACAGTAGAGCGACGAGTGGACTGGCAGCCACCCCAGTCTGCATCACAATAGGTGGCTAGATCAAGTGAGCTAGCGGAAGGGAAGAACAACCCTTGTCCAGGAGCCCCTTTCAGGTAGCGAAGAAGACGATTCTCTGCATCCATATGCGCCTGTATAGGGGAGTGCACAAACTGACTGAGAATGTTGACAACAAAGGTGATATTGGGCCTGGTAACAATCAGATACAATAAACGACCAACCAACCGACGATAGGCAGTAGGATCTGGATGATCTGCAGGAGTCGGTTTAGTAAGAAGGTGATTTTGTTCAACTAGAAAAGACATTAGGCTAACTGCCCATTACACTAGAATCACCCAGAATGTCGAGAAGATACTTTTGCTGCCTAAGAATAACTCCAGCTGATGTCCAGACAACTTTTATACCCAAGAACTAACGCAAGTCACCCAAATCCTTGATACTGAAATGAGAGTGGAGAAAACTCTTGACATGGGAGATGAACTCTAGACTGGTGCCACCAAGGATGACATCATTAACATAATAAGGGCAATCACATGAATACTCCCCCGGCGAAAAACAAACGTAGAATAATCCGCTGGGGAAGGACGAAACTGCAATTCACAGAGCCACCGTGAATTTTTTATACCAGTTACGCTAAGCTTGTTTGAGCCCATAAATGGACTTGTGAAAACGACAAACACGTTGTTCACCAGTGCATCAAAGCCTTTCGAAATCCTCATATAGACTTGTTCATCCAAGTCCACGTGAAGGAAGGCATTATTGATATCCAACTGATGAATGAACCAGCCTTTGTTGACTGCAACTACGATGAGGCAACGAATTGTAACAAGCTTGGCAACTGGTGCAAAAGTGTCGTGAAAATTGATTCCTTCAATCTGGGTATAGCCCTTTGCCACCATACGAGGCTTATAACGCTCAATCGTGCCATCGGGGTAGAACTTGATCTTGTAAATCCATTTGCAGTCAATAACCCTTTTCTGGGTGGCAGCATAACAAGACTCCAAGTGTCATTCTTTTCAAGTGCCACAACTTCAGCTGTCATTGCCCGTCGCCAACATTCCTCTTTAACAGCTTCGATGAAATTCCATGGTTCGGGATGATGAGCTACCGTAGCAAGAAAGGCACAATAATTAGAAGAAAAAACCATTATAAGCCAAGTGGCAGAGATGGGATAATGAACAGAGTTGGCTTGACTCCCTGTATATAGGGATGGCAACAAAACCCGAACCCACGGGTACCCACCTGACCCAACCCGGTCAACGCGGGTAAAATTCGTGTTGACGGGTTTTGGGCCGGGTTCGGGTTTAAACCCGTTCACTATTCAACGGGTTGGGTTGGGTTTGGGTTTAGGTAAACCCGCCCCATGGTACCCGCCCACACCCATATAATTAATTTTCTCGGTATGTTTAATATTCTAAACTACTAATCTTGTTTATGTTTGTGGAGACATGTCTAATTTTTTCTTTCTAATTGTGTAGAATGAAGTTGATGTTATTGAGTGGAGAGTGAAGAAACTTAATTGACAAGGAGGAAGAAGCTTTCAATTAATCATGTTATTTATGGATAATTTGTGATTTGCTTCAATTTTCTTGAGTTTTCTAGATTGGTGTTGAACAATTTGTATAGTTAATTTGTGATTTGCTTGAATTTTCTAGATGTGTTTTATATATGGATAATTTGTATTGAGAGATTGATATTAGACTTAAATTTTGATAGAAACTTGTTATTGTAAATTTTTTACGACAAAAACCCGTGGGTACCCATGAACCCACGAATACCCAGTGGGTTGGGTTGGGTTTGAGTGTTTCAAACCTAGTGGGTTTTACCCTGGGGTTTTTTTCACGGATAAACCCACGGGTTTGGGTTTGGATTTGGCAAAACCCGACCCATTGACATCCCTACTTGTATAATATATGTCAAGGTATTTAGGTGGCACACGTTGCCGATCACCACATCGCACTTGGGGAGGAGATGGCATCGGAAGAGACGTCGAACAGTCCTGGACATTTCGGACGAAGAATTCGTGGGAGGAGAGGCCAAGCCAGACCGAGACCTGTCCAAGGAAGGATGAGTCGGCATTGACTGGCTCGGGGAAGTAGTCCGAGGAGACATGAGCTTAGGAAGAGGAGAAGCCTGAGGAGTGGATGAGTCATCAAAAGTGGGTCAGTGTGGCCCAAAGCTCGTTGTACAAGGCCCAGGCGGAGAGGAGGAAGGTAGGACGGGAGTAGGGTCTGCAAGCACAAGCTTGTCGTCCAACTCTTCTGCGGGCCAATTGAAACTGGCACGAGGAACCCATTGAAAATTCTGGGCAACGTCAGACTGAAACGGAAAAACAGTCTTGTGGAAAAGAACATCGCTGCTAGTAAGAATCTTCTGTGTCATCAGATATTCAGATCATATACATGATACCACTTTTGACTTGCTGCATAACCAATGAAAACGCAAGCACGACCACGCTCATCGAACTTTCCAAGATGAGAGTGTGTGTCCTTGTTATACACAAGACATCCAAACACTCGTAAATGGGAGTAATTCGCTGTTTTTTCAAAGATTACCTCATACGGTGTGCGTCCAGTAGCAGGAGTCGGCAGTCGATTAATCAGTTATATGTTGCAGTAAGAATGCACTCACCCCAAAAACGTATGGGTAAAGATGCTTGGAAACGCAGTGCTCGAACAATATCGAGCAAGTGGTGATGCTTTCGTTCAACTACACCATTCTGCTGAGGCGTGTCAATGCAGGGAGTTTGAAGCAGAATGCCTTCACAACTATTGAAGTCCTGCAAAGCCAGAGTGTCAAACTCAGGACCACTATATGCCTGAATTTTCTTTACCTGCTTACCAAACTGCGTACGCACAAGATGACAGAAAATTTGTATGTAGCGATCAATATTGGATTTAAACCGCATAAGATACACCCAACTCCACGACTGAAATCATCGACGATGGTAAAAAAAAGCACCACTATAAGATGGGGTATGATAACCGCCCCAATTATCCATGTGCAACATCTCAAAACAAGAAGTGGTTCGAATCCCACTGGTAGGAAAAGATGTCCGAACTTGTTTAGCCCGAGAACAAGGATGACAAACACTAGAATTCGAATCAAAAGAAACAGTAAGAACATCTCGAAGCTTGGTAAGAATGGCGGTCGAAGGATGGCCCAAACGTGCATGCCATAGAGTGCAGGAAAGTGCTAAGGCCTTCTCCACGACATTCGCCCTAGCTCTGCGACAGCCAAACAACAGCAGAAAGTATAAACCGTCAGGAATCTCCCACTTCCCAATCACGTTCCTGGAGTGAAATTCTATATAATACAGAAATCATCGAGAAATATTAAAGCAACATTGTGCTCTTGACAAAGCCAGTTGACTGATAAAAGATTGCATCGAAATTTTGGGACATGCAATACACGACCAAGTAGCAGACCATCACCCAATT